TCTGGATTTAACAGTCAGTGATATATTGCTTCATTAGGGGGCAGTGGGTATCGGTCACTGTAATTATAATTTATTCATTGGAAATCTTGTAAGAGACTCCTTCGGCCCCAGAAGTAAAAGACCTCTAACTTTTTGAAAAAAACAAAGAAGAAAAACACTTGTATCACCTTGCTCCAGATTCTGTAGAATTTTGTCTGGTGCAAAAATATGAGCACAGCGCTGATACAACAGTCTTACAACGTACTCCACATCACAAACAAGAAGTGATGCCCGCAAATTTCTGATTTTGCCGCATAACTTTTCTGCTACTTAGAAACAGTCACTTTTTGGGCAGAAAGACAAGTTCATCAGTTACAATGCATTGGTAACAAAATTCAGGGGCGGATCCAGGATTTTTTTTAGGAGGGGGTTCACTCGTCTCTTGCTCTACTTCAACACCAATAAACCACATAGTTTTTGGGGGGGTGGAATACCAGTTGTATTAGAAAACCACAGGTCATCTCAGGGGGGGTGCACCCCCTGCACCCTCCCCCTAGATCTGCCCCTGAAATTAAAACACTTAAAAATAGTTTGTATATTTTATAGTAAGAGAAAAAAAAGGGAAGGTAATTAAATGTCATCTTTTACTACCCATGAAAACTGTACCCAAACTCATTCCAACATCCATAATTGCAAACTAGAGTTAGCTGCTTTCGTTTGCAATTGTAGCATATAGAAAAAGGCTTTTCCCTGCTCGCAAGCACCTCTGCTTTAAAACCTTTACGGTTCCTGCCAAAGCTTTTCTTAAGTTTATTGGCGACTTCACTCTGAGGGATGCCACAAAACTTCGAGAAATCGCGCAGGAGACGATTTTTTTTAGTGTATTTAATCACATTGTCCTCCACTGACACCCCAAAAGCTGAATGCGCCCCCTACACAGACTTCACTAAAACTTCAAATATTTCTTGGGGGAGGTCACGCTTCACCTCTATCGTCCATGGATTGGAAGCCTTCGGGTTTGCCGACATCCGCCTTCTTATCCTGTTCAGCCAGATCAGAACCTCTGATGTGATCATAGGCCACGCCAGGAGGGAAGACATCAGAGATTTATCCATCCCATGCACCCCAACCTCATGTCAGTGGTAGACATTCAGCATTAGCTGACGAGCTTCCTCCCTAACATGGGTGTAATTGGAAATAGAGCGCCAAAGAGCAGTAAAATTGCTTATCGACGTCTCCAAAATATCATTTAAACTAACTTCATCTTCCTCGGTTTGTTCACTCTCCACCAAAACTTGTTCGATTACTTCTTCGCGGGAGAAATGTTGTCTTCTGGCCGCCATTTTTTTTTGGTAAGACCGCTGGTGTGACCGCGGTAACTAAATGACGACTTTTTTGAGACAGCTGACCCGGCGTGATGAGGAATCGACTTCATGAAAAGAGGAGAATCGAAAACGAATCTTCCTAGGTCGAAGAAGTTTGCAACAGGGCGAAGCTGTGAGAAATCACGAACTAAAATCACTTGTTTTCCTGCGAAGAGATACTTTTGATTCGCCGTGAGATGATAGAAGCTCGTGAATTTTATTCGCCAGCTCAAAGACACGCCTGCTCGTCACACTTATCTCATCTCAGATAAAAGTATCTGCTTCTCTAGCACGTTCGCATACTAAATTGTTCGCTACCGATCTTTCGACTACCATGTTGGCTGAGAGATCAGCAGTACGCAGGCCGTAAAAAGCGTGAGTCGTCGACGCGGTGGTTCCATCTCTTAAATATACAGTTCCAACGATGCCACTTGAACAGACAATGGCAACTTTTCTTCCTTTCCTGCGTAAATCCTTTTGCAGAGCATGTACTAAAGTGGATTTTCCTGTACCCGCTTGGCCAGTGACAAGAATATTGTGCCCGGCTTCAGCGACCTTGATGATCTCGGATTGTTCTGTGGTTAAGGTGTTAGAATCTCTGAATGGAAAAGAAGAAGGTCTATGTTTCAACATAAAACTTACGCTGCTGTTTCTTTGTTGATAAAATTCATTAAAAAGATAGAAAATATTTCGTTACCTCTCCATTTTTATAAATTCCACAGGTAAAACGCAATAAAACCAGCTAACATGTATGTGGGTTACATATCGACAATGAAGAATGCCTGAACACTGTCAACATCCAAATGTGCGGGAATACTCGAAACAATCTGTTCCCCTGTTCATTCATTGGCGGACGCGAACAATGTGCGGAAATGTAAGTGGCTTCCGGTGAGCGTCAAGACACACGACCCGAGTCTGATGGGTAAACAGTTGAAGGGTCACTAAAATGCCCGTGGTTCCCAACCCTCGTTAGGTATTTTGAATAGGTCATTGTCTAACGTCGTCCAATCAGAAAGGGGCAATCAGCGGGACGGTTCGTAGCTGGCACGTATGGATCTTGCTACGCATTCCAGTCGCTCCAATACTGTGGGATTTTGATTTTCTTCGAGGGCTAGCTCCGGGCCGTTTGGATGGATTTTCGATTGGAAGATACGAGAAGAATCGTGAATCTTTTGACCTTTATGCTGCGAAGTTTGAAAGCAGAGCGATGCAATTTTGGGGGGAAAAATCGCTCTGGCGCTGGAACCCTTTCAAAACAAGGATTGTCCTTCTTATACATGGAACAGTCAACGGCGAACTCAAACTCCTTCAAAATCGCTCAAAAAACCGCTTTTGAGGTAAAAGGACGACTATATACCACAGGTAAGGTAGTTCAACGCTTATTTATCATTGATTTATATACATAGTTAGCGATATATCGCTATAGGTGAAGCAAACGGTAAATCCAGTACATTTACTATAAAATAACAATCGGCTACACAAACAGATTGTGTGGGCCCCCTGTGGTTTTAGGCGTTTGATGCCTTCTGGCCTTCTTGGACAGTCCCTAGCAGGACAGCTGTCCGCCATATTGGCCGACGTTTCTACGCGCCCTTGGAAAGAATTAGCTTCCACGAATGCGAATCACAAAGATAGTTCAGAAACTATAGAAAGAATTCCAGAGGAAACATGACCTTAATAACGCCTATAAATTGTCCAAAGAAAGGAGGGAATATCAAGGTGATAAAACTTGGATTTTCGAGGGCCCTGAAAGTGGCGAATGAAGAGCGTGAGTTGAGCGTGAGCATGCAATGCAAACTGGGTGGGTGAGATTCTTTAAAAGCCACAAAACTCGTCTGTTCAACTTCCATTTTAAAGTCCTCATTATTAAAAATACCATAAAAGAAAAAATTCTGCCAAATATCACAAAATTTTAATGAGTTTGAGAAATTGTCTTCTGTGTACCATTGCTTTTTTCACTGCCATGTTGGTTTGTCTGATTTAAACACGTGCGTTCATGAAAGTTACCGCTGACTGCCAGCAAAACTTTGTTCAATCACCTAGAGTTCCTCGTTTGATGACGTTTTGTGCCAGAGGGTGTAAAAGAATTTCTTCTGGACTGTTTACAGATTTTCCTTTATCCTCGTCCTTTTTTTCTCGAATCCATTGAGCTGTACATGAACTGTCAAGTAAAAGACTACAAATCGGACGCTCACACATATTTGTCAATTTAATGCAACTGGGCCTACAATCTTGGAAAGAATGAAATTGAACTGCAAACCCTAATAGGGAGCAAATATACTCTGGTGGGAATATCAGTCTGCAAGCAAGTCGCCCATCTAAATACGCTAAGGGCACCCCAAAAAACATAAACAATTTTGGTAGCACCCTCGAACCTTGCATCAAGCTGGTTAATAGGTATTTAATAACATGACGTAATTCACCTATATAGCAAAGAGGCTCTGAACCAGAAATGGCTATAACTTTCTACTGTTTGAATGAAATTGCATAGATTATGTGCCTCAATTGCTTAAACAATATAAAACGCTACCGGATTCTTACATGGTTATGAATATATAATCTTACAAATGTGGGCATCCACAGGATGCCTGGACACCCTTCTGGATAAAGCTTGCCCTTGAGTCATAAAGCTACCGACATTCCTTTTCCTCCCTTATCATAACAGGGCTCAGCCCAAATCATAAAAGGCCAGGAAAAAAAGGACATGATCAACAAGTGAAA